TGTAGGGAATGGAGGATAAATTGTATTGTACCTAGGGAAGAATGAAAGTCCAGGTGGATAGGGGCTAAGTTGGGATTTTGAATATACATAACCTGGACAACAGAGGGGAGGCAGAGGGGGTAGTGAGATTTTCCTTAGTCTTCAAAAAGGAGGGAGTGGTGGGATTCCCCCTGGACCACTGAGAGGAGGAGGGGGTGGAGGGATTTTTCCTGGGCCATAGGGTGGAGGAGGAGGTGGTAGAACAAATTCTGGGCCAAGAGGATTAGGTGGTGGAGGAATCCATGGTCTAGGAGGATATGGTCTCCAAGGGCCTCTCTGACTCTCTCCAGGCTGTAACAAAAAAGAAACACTTTTAAATTAGCTATATCAAAGTCAAGCATAAGAGCATATACTTCCATGTTAGGCAGAATTCTTATTGGCACCCAAGATTCAAGCCCTCTGCTTCACGGACTGGCTTACCCATGTCAGTAGAGTCCTTTTAAGACAAATTCTGTGAAGTCAAAGACAGACTTTAGAGAGATTTGGCTGCAGCAAATACATTTCTATTGGCTATGAATCAAGGTGCCTCTTGTGGGAAACACCACATGGAAATAAACAGTAGATGGGCTGAAGAACTGAGGGTGGCCTTCATTCTTAACCAGCCAGAAAGGAGAGGGTCCTCAGACCCCAATAAACAAGCAAGCTTAAAAGGGGATCCTGAGGTAACATAGACCAGGAAGCAGTTTATCAACTTTGAAGACACTGAGCAGAGAATCTAACTAACCAAGTCATACTTAGAAATTATGAGATAATAACTAGATTTTGAAGCTACTAATTTATGGTATTTTGTTAGGCAGCATTAGAAAATCAGTACATGTGTCTAAGTAATGACGCTGAAAGTTTATATGAGAGTAAAGGCAGAGTTTCTCTCTTGATCCCTCTATCCCTGACTCCCAGTGAAAGCTGTGATACATTGAATGGAAAATAAGTATCTTGGACAAAATCCTATCTTTTGCTTATAATAAAGTCTAGACTTAGTCCCAAATGGAAGTAAATATGCTCACAGCATGAAGAAAATATCTCTCTGTATTTTATTCAAGAGTTATTCCAGGGTTCAACACTAATAAACTGAAATACACTGCTGAGAAACTACTGTGTGGTGTGCTACTGTAGGAGCTGCAGGGGTGCAATCTTATGTTGCCTCTTTGTGGAAGTTCTTGTTTTCTTCTCCCAATTTTTTTCTTCATAGTGTTCAATTTGATGTAATAAATTTTGCAGTTTTTTTTGCTAGAAGTTACTCAAATTCATCTCCTCTTCCTAAACTAGAATTAATCTGTTTTTACTTTGAAATAGAATATCATTCCATGACTTTATTTTCTTTTTCTTTTTCTTTTTTTTCTTTTTTTGTGAGAGATTTATGCTATAAGGCATATGCACTTGCTGGAGAGACAAAGAAACAGGGAGGCATAAAGTGAGAAGTCATCCCTGAAGAGGGGATGGCCACACCACAATCCCTTCTCCTTTATCTCCTATTGGGGCGCTGGGCATGCATGCACTCGCGCTTGGAGTGAGTTTTAAGCCACTAGGTTTGGGATTTCAACATGGTCAAACACATAGGAGTCTATTGCCTGAACCAATATGCCACTGCTTGCCCCAACGTCATTCCACTACTTAAAAAAAAAAAAAGTGTGTGGGGCCAGCAGATGATGTAATGGTTAAGGCACTGGACTCCTATGTGGCTGACGGTGGTTAGAGCCCCAAACCTGGGGGCTTGAACCTTATATCTGGTGCATGTGTGTGCATAACCGAAGTCCCAAGAGGAGAATGGAGAAGGGATTGTGGGTGAGGCCACCGTCCTAGAGGGTGGTTTCTAACTGTATCTCTTTCTCTCTCTCTCTGTTAGTGTCTTTGGTGTCTGCACATGCCCAGTAGGAAAAATCTCTTAAAAAGAGTGTGTGTTTTATCCTTTGTAATATTATATGATATTTAGTCTCTTCATGGTATCTAATGTAGTCCTTTATAAATGGATGGTTTACAGTGTTAGTACCTTAGAACTGAGCATGCAAATATTCTCCTGGATTTCTGGAAAAATGCATTTTCCCATGTTCCACTCTCAGACATGCTTATACAGTCAATGACAAGGTCTGGAATCCTGTACTTTTAAGAAGTGAGTCAGGTGACTGGGATAGAGGTGATCCCCACATCCGCCTACTGAGAGCAATTGTTCTAACTTTCCTATTTCATAGAGTTTTACCTGCTCATATTGTTGCTGGAGTACAGGGACCCACACTTTCACATATTTGTATAATGTAGTCTGATAGGAGACATCTGAGCTCTCCAATATAGTAGCCATGGGCATTGGTAGTTTTTTAGTTAAATTGGATTTAAAATTAAAATAAAGCACTAGAACAACAGTGTTTCATCAATAACTAATAGCTACTAATACACAATGAAATATAATATCATAAATATAAACAGAAATATGAAGTAATAGTTACTGAGAAAATGTGAGAATATAAGCTAGTGATTTATGATACTTACAGAGAAACAGGTTACAAGAGCCCAAAGACCCAAGATCAAAGACAGTGGCTTCATCCTTGTGGTTGTTCCTGAAAGTAAGTAAGTATAATGTAAGTATAATGACTGATCTCCATTACTTTTTTGGGGGGGAGAGGTTTTTGCTATAGGGGACATGCACTCTCCAGAAAGACAGAAACAGAGGGGAACCAGCAGTTAGTGTAATGGCTATGTTGCTGGACTCCCATGTAGTCGACCACGGTTCGTGTCCCGGACCCGGTGGCTTAAAACTCACGCCAGGCGCGTGTGCGTGTGTGCCCAAGATCCCGAGAGGAGAATGGAGGAGAAGGGATTGCGGCGTGACCATCCCCCCTGGGGGGTGATTTCTCGCTTTCTGTCTCTATCTGTCTGGCGAGCGCACGCGCCCTAAAGTGAAAATCCCCCCAAAAAAAAAAAAAAAAGACAGAAACAGAGAGATAGAAAATGAGAAATCACCCCCCAGGGAGAGTGGCCACACCGCAATCCCTTCTCCTCCATTCTCTTTTTGGGATTGTGGGCACGCACGCACATGCACCCTGAGTGAGTTTAAGCCACAGGGTCTGGGACTTGAACCTTGGTGGGCTACATGGGAGTTCAGCGATATAGCCATTACACTAACTGCTGGTCCCTCCATTACTTTTTTGTTACTTTTTTTTTTTTTATTAAAAGGTACTGTTTGGAATCTATATCAACACATGGTATATAAAGTAGTGTAGTATTTGTCCTGTGGCATTTTTAAGGAATTTGCCTAACATTATTTTGGACTCAGTGTTAATGTGGAACAATATCAGTAGCCTCATAAAATTAACTGTAAAATGATACAACCAGTTTTCATTTTTGAGTCATAAACTGATACTAGGGGTAGTGTCAAAAAGTTATTCATAAAGTATTATAAACAATAGAAGGTCTTAGAACTAAGTTTTTTTTCCTAGAGAAGTAACTATTCTGAAATGAACACTTATTTACATTTGAATATTTTGGTTTAATTGTAGCTACATTACTTTATAGTTTTCCTTAGATTTGTATTTATGCTCTTAATATTTTTAACTAGATTGTACATTATAAATTTAATTTTCTGGACAGCACAAAAATAAGGGAACAGGTTCAGATGTTGTGGTGTAGTGGTAACACAATGCCCTACAAGGCTAGAATCCATATGACCAACTGCATGTTTATATCTCTTGGATGACTTGAAAACATACCAGACATGTGTGTGAATTTCTGGGATCCTATGGAACTGTAGAGCTGGGGAAAATGGATTGTGGCATGATAAAACTCTGTCTAGGGTACTTCTCCCTTTCCCTCATGCACATGCATGCACTCTCCATTATACAAATTTAAGAATAAAAAACAAAAAAGGAAAGGAAGCACCCTCTTTGACATAACCTAGAGAAAGAGTCACACGGTATACATCTAATTTTAACTACATTCTACTAAATTACTTAAGATCATGATGGATGGCCTCAAAGTGCTTCCAAAAGTCTGTTGGGTTGTCAGGAAAGTCATGATACATTATTGCACAGAAAAATAGAAAAATACGTCATGACTTTTCTGACAACCTAATATATTCATACTATTGAATACATTAAAGATCAGGGTAGAGAAAACATAGAGGTGTCCAGCTATTTTACTCTCAATTGGATCAAAATGTACATTATATTTCAAATACATGACAGTCAGAGTTCTGAGAAAGTACCTTCGAAGCACCATTGTGCAAATTGGTTTCCCAAGAGTCATCTCTGTGCACAGATTGAATGTGCTGACTAAACAATGTAAACATTGAGAGTCTCAGATGCAGAAAATTTCACTGGCTATTGAATTACAATTACCTGTAGTAATTTCTCTAAGTATTTTTTTCCTGTGATCCATTTTTATAAGAAGTTGGAAAACCAAAGCAAAACTAATAATAAAAATATAGTATATACGGTTCTCTCTTTTAGAAAATCTGAGAGTACACTATCATTATTAACATAAAGAACTTTAAGGTCAAGCGGGAAAGTTTTCTGAATGCTTGCTTGATGGATTGATTGTTCCAAGTACCCAACATGAATACTTTGTTATGACAAGAAGAATTTTTCAAAATTTAATGCATGTTATTATTTACAATTTAAAAGATGGTGCTTATTCTTTTGGTAAAAAGGAATATTCTAGTAAAACCCCATGAACATGCTGTTTTTGAAAGCCTGAAAAATTTAGTATTTAAAGTAAAAGTGATCAGTTAATATTTCCAAGTACATACCACTGTGTGAGGATCCTTCTTAGGGCTGATTAATCTGCTGGTCAAAATAGAAAGATGGCGAAAGAAGGTGAAGAAGGACAAAAAATCCTAGTGCTTATATATGTTGCAAAGATTTATATTGGCCATAAAAGGAGTATTTTGTGGATAACATAACTTCTGGGTTGGTGCACTTCAAACAAAGATAGAAAGTCATCATTGCCAATCTGGCAGTCTTTTTCTTCAATTTATTTTATTTTTTCATTTCTGAAGTGCTTTGATCCATTAATATCTGCTGTTTCCTGAGGAAGCACATACAGTGACTCACAATTTCCTATTGCCTTAGAAAAATAATCTGGGGCCTGTGGTACACCATTTTCTCTTTATATATATTAAAGAAAAGGCACAACCTGTTCTATCCAAGGAATTTTAATGACTCATGGTTCATGCTTGAATTGAGATTTTTATCAAAGTTTTGAAATAGCAAGTGAAAGAAATCATGTGGTGTGCAAAGAAGAATCGTCAGAAAGTTTATGTAGAGTCTCATTCTAAACTAAATTTTATCTCTGTGTATCTGTGATTCTTCTTAAGATATTTAAATTATTTAAAAAACTTTTATATGGACTTTTTTAGAAAAAGCTCTTGCTAAGAAAGAACTGAGATTATCAATCATTTTTAAAAGTCATGTTGTACTGACCAATGTTAATTTAGGAAATGTATTACAACTAAACAAACATGATGACATGCAAGGTTTTTTATTATGGAGAAATAACAAAAATGATATTTTCCTTTGAAGTGATGTCTGTTAGAAAGTAACAACCTTGTCTTTTTGAGGAAACTTTTCCTATGCAAAATGATCCTATAATCTCTAGTTTTTACAAATTATTGTATATGAATAAGAATAGCTCTTACTAAACCTTTACCCTATTCTATGTGGCAGGCTGAAATGAGTTCTCTCATCATCTCTGTTTTGCACAAAGTTACTAATTAACTGAATGGAATTTGACCTGAAGTCTGCCCAGTGTAAGGTCTGAGTCTTTTTACCAGTATTTCATGTTTTCGACCAAATCAACATACTCTCCATAGATTTATGTAACATTAAGTTATAGTACTCTGAAGAGACTAATCAAGTGATCTAATACTCAGGTCATTCAGGACTTCACAATTCAGATGAGTCTAGAAACTTTCTTGTTTTGATATCAACTTCTTTCTCAGTCAAGTGTTTTAAATCAAGGCGTGATCTACATTGTAATGGATCATTGGCTCTGGAGGACTTGCGTGGATATTGGCAAAACTGGAAGATAATTTATCAGTGATGGTGACCAGTGAAGAATTAGGGTCACATAAGCAAGCGGAAGCACATGTCTTTTAAGAAACAGAGACAGCTATTCATGACATTAAAAAAAAATGCTGACTGAATGCTTTCTAGAACAATACCTAATAGAGCTGAAATCTCTTGTCACAGGAAATTAAGTGATGGTAGAGTCACATTATTGTCAATGTAGAGATTTGTGTGACAGATGCACAATATTTTCTAGACATATTTAGTTTAGCAGAATTAAGCTCAGACATGTAGCAACATATTTGATTATTTGATGTCTGCTGCCTCATTGTGCTACACTTATTTCCACTGAAACACAGCTGTAATGACTGTTTCTTTGAACCTGTAGAATATGCTACTTTTAGGTTATTCAGGTATTTTGGTTTCTGAGTTAATGACACATATAAAATATTTATCATGCTTTAGAATTTACAACAATTGCTGAGTGGGATTAGTTATTGGTACCATTGGGCCCTAGAGAAAACTTACTCTACTGGATTGAAGAATTCTAGCATTGATGAGATGAGCTCCAATGGGGTTTGCAGATTGGAGAGAAGCCAGAGCTCTGACTTGTACTGTATAGATGCTGGTAGAAACCCACCCTTCCAAGTTCTATGGATTCTCTGGAGTTTGGCCACACATTGTACCCTGAGCTTCCAAGTGGTCAGTATTAAAAGAAAAATGAAATCATATTGAAAAATTAATACTATTTATAAAATATAATAATAGTAGTCACCTACTGCTGGTAGCTTTCCTTTTTACTGAAAGTCATGAGAAATCTTCATATTTCATAACACACATAAAGTGTATTATTTGAGGTGTCATGGTTGCCTCTAATAAGAGTTTGTGCCTAGGGTGGGAAGGGTCCAAAGCTTGTACCCAGAAACCTAGCAAGATTAAGTTGTGTATTGGTTGTGGAAATGACAACTTCTCTGAATCCTCAACCTCAGAGATCTGGGAGTGGTGTGGCCCAGAAAACCTGGGAATTGGCCAACATACAGGGAGCCCAGAGTATTGAGGAAATCTACAAGTGACAAGAAATAGCAACACGAAATCCTAATGGCAAAGTACTGGACTAAGGATCACCATTAGTTTAAATATTGAAAAATCTCAGCATTGATTCTACTGAAAATGGTGATGTATGACAGATCAGAAGGCAATTTGGGAAGTGATGGGTTTGATGCTAGGGAAGGTGGACAGTGAAACCATGATCATTATGGATAGTTTTGCTTTACCTGTACAGGGCACTGAAACCTGAGTAAATGCTCAGGCTGCTGCCTGTGAGTACATGGCTGCATACACAGAAAATGCTGAACAGGTTGACTGCCTGTAAAATGCAATTTGCTGGTATCACAGCCACCCTGGCTGTGGTTGCTGGCTTTCTGAAATTGAAGTTACTACTCAGATGTTCAATCAGCAGTTCAAAGAACCATTTGTAGCAGTGGTAATTGATCCAGTAAGAACAATCGCTGCAGGGAAAGTGAATCTTGGAGCCTTTAGGACATACCCAAAGAGTTACAAACCTCCTAATGAAAGACCTTCAGAATACCAGACTATGTCACTTAATAAAATAGAAAACATTGGTGTACATTGCAAACATATGCCTTAGAAGTCTCATATTTCAAATCCTCTTTGGATCGCAAAGTGCTTGAACTTTTATGGAATAAATACAGGGTGAATACGCTGAGTTCCTCTACCTTGCTTACTAATGCAGACTATACAACCAGACAGATCTGGAAGAGGGAGTTTCATGTTGAGTTTAGAAACACATGACCCAAAATCAGAGGACAAACTTGGCAAAGCTGTGAGAGACTGCTGTAAAACTACCATGGAAGCTATCTTTGGATAGATGTCTCAGGTTATTAAGGATAGACTTTTTAATCAAATTAATCTCTCTTAAACTGTCACTAAATAGTACTTTGACCTGAGTAAAATACTCAAGTAACACTTTTAAACCAGTTACCAAACATCTGATTACATGCGTAAGGTGGGGGGGGCAGCAGGTAGTGTGGTGAAGGCACTGGTCTCCCATACGGTTTTCTGTGGTTCAAGTCCTGCACCTGGAGGCTTGCTTTCTCACATTCTCTCTCACACTCTATGGTAAATTAAAATAATAATAATAAGTAATAAATAAAATTAAATAAAGAATTCTTTTAAAATAATGTAAGGTGCTCTAAATTATCCTGAATATTAACATCCTGTAATACTCTCTGAAATTAAAAGGAATAAAAGAAAGTATATTATTCTATAGTAAATGTGAAGAGGTTTCATAGTATAACCAGAATGTCCCCAGCCTGTGAATGTAAACAAGTATACAACTGAACTTTAATAAAAATTTTTACTAGATTGATAACCTCAACATGTAACCAAATAAATTGATCTTCTCTTTCAAGATCTCTTTTTGGGAATATTCTCAACTTCCTCTTAATTTCCAAATATATTTTCTTTGTCAAAATGTTATTTTTTGTTATTTATTTGGAGAGGTTTTTGTTATAGGGCACATGCACTTGCCAGAAAGACAGAGTGACAGAGAGAAAGAAATCGAGAAATCACCCCCCCCAGGCAGGGGGTTGACCATGCTGCAATCCCTTTTCCTCTGCTCTCCTCTCGGGATCTTGGGCACACATGCACACATGACCAGTTTGGGAAGAAGTCACTGGGTCTGGGACTCGAACCATGGTTGACTACATGGGAGTCCAGTGACGTAGCCATTATAGCATCTGCTGGTCCCAACATTTCTTACTGTCTAGTTAATTGTACTTGTTTTTAAATTCTCACTATTAAAATCATGTGGCATTATATCTGTCTGCTGACAGGACATGACTGATGCCATAACTAAATGACTACAATATTCTCTTCTACTTGTGGCAGGGTCTTGTGTTCAGAAGAATGCTCAGACTCATAAGAATAATATTTTTCATTAATACCAAATTTACTTAGCATTTACTAAGAAAGTATGCAGAGTGGGTAACAATGCAGTACACTTGGTGATAGCTTGGTGGAGATTTGGTGAATAGCTTCTCATATCCTAGTCATTCTGTATCTGGGATGTATCAATACATGATCATGAAAAAAACGTCTGAGAATGTGATTGGAAAACTTCAGTTCAGAGAAAACATCATGATGTACTGATTACAGGGGAATCTGATATTTTTAATTCTAGAAGCTATTCTAGAAGCTCTGACTAAAGGGATATTTTTATGGGAATCCTAGGGCCAGCCTAATATGGCAAGAGGTCATTTGTATGTGTGATCTCTTCTGTTACTCCCTCAAGACTCCAATACTGAAAATCAGAGCTAATATACTGCAGTTGGCAAATATTTCTCCTTTACTTCTTTATACGTGGCATGTTCCTTTGAAATCAATTCATTTCTTTTCTACTAATGTGGTCACATCTTTTCATTTCATTTATCAATAATATTGTTATTGAAGTCATTCCAGATGACTTAATACTAACTGGTTGTCCCGTCTAATCCCATCTCATCCCAGTGTCTTCCCATCTGCGATTTTCCCATCTCCAGTGATCATTTTTTCTTCTAAAGAAGTTCAAAACAATAGTCTTATGTGTGGTCACAACTACCTTAACGTAGTCTACTTCTAAATCTCTCATTCAAACATCTCACCCTAGGACTACAACTCTCTCTTTCAATCTTACATATTCACTTATTCCCACTGAGAATATCAGTTCATTGAGTCCTTGACTTTTCATAATGCAATAGCCCTCTTTGTTCATCCATACTTGTTTTAGTCAACCTGAAGT